TACAGATGTTGTACTTAAAAACAAAACAAAAAATATTTTTTGTTCATCAAAAGACATTTTTAAGAAGACAAGTAGGCAAGCCATAGAGTGAGGGGAAATATATGTAATACAAACACATCCAGAACACACAAAGAACATGTAAAGACCAATAATAAAAAGTTAAATAATCCAGTAATAACTGGACAAAAAATCTTTTAATAAACTCTTCACAGAAAAAAATATAGGAATGACCATTAAACGCATGAGAGTGTTCACCATTATTAGTCATCAGGGAAATGTAAATTAACCTATACTGAGATACTATTTCACATCTAGTAGAACAGCTAAAATAGTTTTACAGTGACAGTATCAAGCGTTGAAGAGGTTGTGAAGCAAATTGCTGGTGAAGATATAAAATGTTAAAACTACTTCGTAAAATTGTCTAGCAGTTCCTTATAAAGTTAAGTATACATTGACCAGAACACCCAGTATTCCACTCCTATAATTTTCAAAAGAGAAAAGTGAAAACCTAAAAACCTATGTTGACCAAAACAACAGATGTCCATAGTAGCCTTATTCAAAGAGCCGATAACTGAAATAGCACAACTGTCAATTAAGAAGAAAATGATAAACATGTTGTATAGTCATTAAGGGATTACAAAGCAATGTTAAAAAAAAAAAGAAAGAAAGTATTGATACATGGAAAGAAAGGAATGAATCTCAAGACCTTATGTTCAGCATATATATTTCTATATTCTATTTATGTGAAGTTCAAGAATAGACAAAACTAGTCTGGGGTGATGTAAATCACAAGGTGGCTTCTAGTATGAAATGAGGACTGACTGCAGTGGGGCGGGAGGGACCACCTGGTGTTGAGGGAGATGTTCTGTGTCTTAATTGTGGTGCTGATTGCGTAGGTATACATGATTGACCAAATTGTCACAACTGCCTGCTTATTATCTATGCATTTTACTACACTTAAATTACTTCGATTTTTTTTAAAAGAAGGGAATATTAGGTTAAAAAAACAGCTAGGAGGGTTTCAGTTTTCAGTACAACTGAGTTGAAGTCTACAATTTGATGATTTGACTCATCGTTTTGGCTCTCCTTGCCTAGGAGAAAATGCTGTCTACCAACATTTGTCAACTGAGAATGAGCTATTTTGTATCGCCAAAACACACATTATTTCAGAACCTACTGTCCCCTGTAAATCAACAAGGAAATCATAATGA